CCGCCGGCCCCGGGCCCGGCACGGTCAAGTTCAGCTCCTCCGCCAGGCTCCAGCCGCATCGCTGGCTCAGCTCGGCCACGCCCGGGCTCAGGCAGCGGTGGTCCGGGGTGAAGGCCAGGAACACGATGCCCACGTAGACGGGGGCGAACAAGGCCGAGAGCAGGCACAGGGGCAGGAAGACCAGCTTCTGGAACAAGCCGAACTCCCCGATCTGCTGCAGGATGTCATCTGTGGTGGACATGATGCAGCCAGCACTCACATTGCTCTGACTGGACCTGTGTGGCTGCAGAGGCCAGGGTCAGTGCTCACGTGGGTTTCTCTGCTGCTTTGAAATCAAGTTGCTATCTAAGCACGATACACCTGGACGCCAACCAACTAGAAATCATCTTTTACCCCGTGGTGCTGGCTTTACGCACAGGTGGAAGGCGGGAAGATGGCTGCCAAATTGTTCGCTCGGGGAGGAAGCAGGTCACCAAGTTGAGGTCCTAATTTTCCTGAGTTAGAGCTCACTCACAGAGGAGAGAGCCAGAGGCAGCCATGTCAACGCCCAGCCGTCTCTAGGCCTCTTTCAAAGAGATCTATCTATTCGAATACTGCCTTTTACGATCCAGATAAATCAAAGACAGCCCACCGACAGCCAGGCCCAGCCGCAGGGGCTGTGGAACCCCACAGCTCAGGGGCGCAGCCAGCTCCCGAGCTCGCCTCTGCCGAGCACTGTGTTTGCCTTCCAGATGCCAGTTCTGTTTGCCTCTCAGGAGTCCGAAGGCCAGAATGTCATGGAAAAGGGGACCGTGAACAACCACAGGCCAACACCAGGGGCCAGGGCCAGGTACACCAGAGACCGTCAGGGATGAAAACATCGGCCCCCTCTTTGAGGCACCTGCTCGGGGCTCAAACATGTGTCGCCTGATTCCTTCTCATGACAGCCTTCAACACAGATGCTGTTACTGTCCCCACCGCACAGCGGGAAAACGGAGGCTCAAGGAGGTAACGGCAACTGTCCAAGTTCACGCCGTCGTTGAACTTGAACTGCTCCACAGCAAGATCTCTCAATCTACGAAGCTGTCTTTGGCTCACCGGCTCGTGTGCTGGCTTATTTGTTGACTCAACAAATATTCGCCGAGTTCCTGTACATCTCAAGCAGTGCTAGGCCCTGGGATACAGACAGAGCGGTCCCTAACTCCAAACAGCTTACAGTCCACGGGGGACGGACTCGCAAAGGGACGGCAGCAGGCAGAGGGCACTCGGGGAGCCCCCTAATTGGACCCTCAGCCTGACGTGCTCCTTACACCGTGTGTGTGTGTGTGTGTGTGTGTACAGGGGGCGAGGGGGGAGACAGACAGTGGGGTGCCCCGATGATTCCGCCTCCTGGTGCTTTGTGCCCTGAGCACACACGGGGCCTGAGACTGGCTCGTACCCAGTGGAAGATGGCAAAGCGGCAGGGCCACTGCTGTGATTACGTCACAGAAGGTAGTGGCTGTCGTGCTGGGCGCCCCTCTCCCCCTTGCTGTCTTTGAGGGAGTGAGTGGCCCTCCTGGGGACACCCACGTGGCAAGAAGCCAAGAGGCACCTCTGGCTGACAGAGACCCTCGGTCCTATAACTGCGAGAATCACGTGAGCTCAGAAGTGGATCTCTCCCCAGACTGCACAGGGTCCACCTACGCTGCAGCCACCCTCCTGCCCCCCCGACACCAGGAGACAAGTGTGTGGCTTTATCTGGCTCAGTTAATGGTAACGTGTCTTCAAGGCAATAAACCTGGAGAAAGGGCTCAGGCTCCTGGGAGCAGCAGAGGGGCGAGCACAGCCCGCTCCTTGTCCACCTGTGAGCAGCTCTGTCCCCGAGGCCTGTGGCTTCTAACTACTCTATGTGCCCGACAGCTGTGCCTCCGGGATGCCTGGGTGCCCGCCGACCTCTGTGGCCTGGGCATCGGTGGCTGTCAGTCAGCACACAGGGGTAATGGAAGAGAACAGTCTGTGGTGGCCGGGGCCCCCAGGCTCAGCCCTTCATCCTGGGCCACCTCGCCCTCCTCGGGGAAATGCAGAGCATGGGAGCCGCTCGCTAAGGGGCAGAGCTGAGAGCCAGCAATCAGGTCCTCCGGCCTTCACCCCGCAAACGCAGGCAGAGACTCTCACACCCTGTTCCTGCGTTTCACCATGAGGCGACTTGCCAAAGTCACCCAAAAAGTAAGCAGCAGAGTCAGGACCTGGGTATTATCTGGTCATCGCTCTGCGGCCAGCAGCATGGGCTGCCCCGAAAGCCGCCGCTGGTTTTCCGGTTGACCAGCCCTCGGCCTGGGCTGCGGGGGACGGACCGGGGTGCAGCAGACTCACTTCGCTCTGTCCTCAGCTGCTGGGGACGACCAGCTTTCCCAGCACCCACATGCATCTTCCCCAGCGTCACTATCTACCCAGGGGGGCTCCTGGCTGCTGTGAAACAATCCGGATCTCAGGAGACGGGGCCCAGGGGGCCGTCTCGGCACAGGGCTGGGCCCCACGGGCCCGGGCCAAAGCTGTTGGAAGGGGACATCGAGGTGCTGCCAGGCAGAGGGCACGCTCCCACAACCACGTTGCCGTAGGACACATGACAGGCGGGCCCCTCCGTGTGCACACAGGAGGGACAGACAGACGTACAGGGGTGCCCTTCGCTCCTGGGACGCTCACCTCTGCTCCACAGGCACCGGGATCCAGCCTCAGCCCCTCCCGCGGGGGCTGCAGCTCTGAGATCCCCTCCCTACTCAGCTGCTGCCAGGCGGATGAGCCCTGGTGGGGACAGGGACAGGGACAACCTCCCTAAGGCGGGTGCTCAGCGCTGCCGCCTGTGGGATCATCATCATACACTGTCCATGTCGCTCTCTGCCCCTGTTCTTGGCGAGGGCCTTGGGATTTCCTGGGCGATGGGAGTGTCTTTTGTTCTGAGGTGACTCTGGGATGGCTCCTGATCACAGGAAAGACCAAGTCATGACTAGAAAGTCAAAATTTTCCACCCAAACTCCCCATTCTCTTGAGAAGGGAGAGCTGGAAACAGTTAATAATTGATCATGGCTCCCTGCGTAAGGCTCTGTAACACCCCGACCGCCCAGGGCTGGGGACGCCCCCAGGCTGGTGAGCACAGCCATGCGGGGAGGGGGACACACCCCAACTCCACAGGGACAGGCGCTCCCCCAGACCTCACCCCGTGTACCTCGTCCCCTGGTTATTCACCTGCGTCCTTCATGTCCTTCAGCAAACTGTACCCCATGTACCCTGAGATCTGTGAGCCACTCTAGCAAATAACCGAATCCGAGGGGGAAGGGCACATGGGAACCTCGACTTGCAGCCAAGTCAGAGAGGATTGTGGGGACCCTGGGGACCTCCCAGCTGCGAGTGTCACCTGAAGCGGAGGGCAGCCTCGTGGGGCTGAGCCCTTCACCACGGGATTCGATGTTTTCTCCACGTGGGCAGTGGTGGTGGGGACATGACCCTGTTCTCAGCCAGGTGGCTCCACTGTGCTCACATGGGACAGCACCCTAAGGTGTCCAGGGACAGTGAGGCATCCTTCTAATAGTTCAGGGAAAACAGGCTTATTGGTTCTGTTTGTTCACATTTTCTGTATGTTGATTGTCTCAAATTTTTTTTTTTAAAGAGAAGAAAAAAGATCCAAAGCCATGGGTCACCAGGTTTGTCACCTGGCCCTCTGGTCCCTTCTGGGCTCTTTCTGGGGTACTGCACCCCATTCTGTGTGCCCTCAGCTTCTCTAACACCATGAGTATCAAAATAACATTAAAGACTTATAGATTATTTTTCAGTGAATCTGATTTGCAAACTGGTCAAAACAACAAATAGAATGAGGTAAAGAAATACAAGTAACTAACAATCCTAACAAACCTAACTTGGGCCATTCCCTCCATCAGGAAGGAAAATGCTTTCTATTTCCTTCCAGGCTGAGCGCCGGAGGCTTTCCGGTGTCCACACAGCCGAGGCCGCCCACGCCCCGTCATCTGGATGTTGTGGTGCCTCTATGTCTTTACGTTTTTTACTCCATCTTGCTCAAAAGCAAACCTGGCCCTTCCACAGCTCCCAACTGCTGTCGGGTAAGTGTACGGAGCTTACTGTGACTTCCATGACACTTCACGGTCCAGGCCTCCTTCAGCCGCTCTGTCCCCAAACTCAACACAGCTGTGTCATCTCTGGGCCTGCGCAGTGCCACCTCTCTGCCCCAACGCCATCTCTTCGGCCTGAGTTCAACAGGTGCCCCAGGACCCCCGGCCCAGCCGCCCAGCCCGGCACCCAGGCACGCCCCCCCCCACGCCCTCCTCCCAGGAGGCACCACAGGTTTAGCTCAAGGGCACGAGAGGCCAAACCCAAGTGGACGAAGTCCGACTGGAGAGGTAAGTTGTGTGCGTGCACGTGAGTGACATGTGTTCTTCAGAAGCTGGTGAAGGGAGGTTCTCTGAGCCTGACCCTGTCCACACCACCTGCTCCCAACACGCACATGATCCCCTTGTGACCTGACTTCCGAGAAGCCAGACCTACATGCCATCAGGTCTGCAGCCCACATAAAGGGACTATCCCAAAGCACTTTTTTTAACGCCCAGGTGACCGTCAACCTTCCTGAAGGACTCACCACGTGCGATGTTGCAGGGGGAGAACTGGCTTTGACTGTTTCAAAGGTTCACGCGAGAGGCAGGATGCCTTTCCTTGAGTTTCCTTGGCAGAGGGTTTGCCCATTCCTTCCTTAACACCCCCGTGTTCCATTTCTCTGCCACTCGATAGCCTCAAAACGGTCAAAAGAAAATATCAAGGTTGTACTCTTAATAAAATCATTTTCCTAGCAAGACTCTAATTCCTATTTGCTATCAGAGCAAGTTTTCCTAAAACTACCTGTACTAACTGGCGAGGGTGGTTACTGTTTTAGGGGCTTAGCGGCGGAGCTCGTCTAGGTTACCCCCATCGCCCGCATCAGCTCTGACTCTTAGGGAAACAGGCACAGCCAGTGCCTGCCACACACCGTGCTCACTTCTGTTCTCTCGGGCTGGCCGTGAGCTGCACACTGGGGCAGGTGGGCCACCCGGGCTGCGGACCAAGGGCTTTCCTGCCATCGAGTTGCCCGTAGAGCAAGCGAGTGCCTGCAAGCAAGGGCCCCTTCTGACCCCGACGGCTTCCTGTGACTTAGCAGGACGGGGCGGCTGAGAGAGCGCCCCCCCCCGGACACAATGCCCAGGGACCAGTGACTCCTGGGCTATAACGTAAACCTTTTTAACAGGGGTCTCCAACCCCTGGGCCACGGACTGGTACCAGTGCATGGCTTTTTAGGAACCGGGCCGCACAGCGGGAAGTGAGCGGTGGGTGAGCGAGTGACGCTTCCCCTGTATTCACAGCCGCTCCCCAGCGCCAGCGTCACCGCCTCAGCTCCGCCTCACATCGTCAGACCTTAGAGTCTCATAGGAGCCCTGGTCCCTGGTGCCACAAAGGTTGGGGACCGCTGCTTTATAGACCCCAGAGTGTGTATCAGGAGATACTGTAAAAGCCTAGGAAATAACAGGTAACTAACTCCAGTTGGATGGTGAGACAAGATGAAGGGCAGGGAGCTGGCTCTGAGAGGTCTGTCTGGCGCTGCAGTAACTCTCTGCTTTGTCTGCTTTCGCATGCCAACCACCGAGGGGGCTCTTGCTCCCAGTCAGTAACTCCGAGGGAAGACCCGGAATCTGTGCAAGAGCACGCCCCCGGGGAGAATGCTGCTCGCCGGGACCCTTCCCGGTGTCGCCGACATCGACATCGGCACCCACGGCGGATGCTCTGGTGAACAGGGAAGGCCCTGAGGTCGGCGCTCTCAGGAGAGAAGGAACCAGGCCTAGCTGAAGCGGAGCGCAGGCCAGAGGACGAAGGCGCGTTCGCACCTACGCGTGGGACGGACTCGGGGAGGAGAGTCGGCTGGGGCACCGCAGCTCCACGCAAACGTCTGTAACTCCCCAGAGGACAGGCGGGCGGCCCAGACCGGCCACGAGCTCAGCGGCTCCCCTCTCGAGGGGAAAAAGCAGTAACACCGAGTTAATAATTTATCTTTTATTGAAATTGTTGAATACCTTATATTACAGTAAATTTGATTGAAAAAAAAAATGAGAAAAGAAATCGATTTTTAAAAATACACTCATGTTGAAATCAAATAAGCCAGCCAAACAGAGTACAAACCAAGGAATTCTGTAGGGCGGTCTGCTTTTCAATATATGACTACAATTGTGTTTATATACAATTCTAGAATAAGAGAAAAGTCGTTCGTTAAACACTTCGAGAAAGGAGCCGGCGGCGGGAGGGGCGGCAGCGCCGAGGCCCGACCTC